CCGCAGTCCTTATAGAAACAATAGAAGACAGATACGGAGTAATCCCTCACAGACAGCCAGACCCTGTGGGAGAGAGATCCGATAGATCTACTGCATCAGGACCATAGTACTGGGGGACACCAGACTCAGTTGGCACAACAAAATACATAAGAGCGTTGCTTCACATCCTACAGTGGTGAGTAGCGTCTGGCGTCTTAAAAGCTTTCAAGCGGCCATCTAAGATGCAGCTATGACTGTAAGCTTCCTAGCATCGGAAGTGAAGAAGAATGCACACACACACACACACACAAAGAAAAAACAAGGGCATTTAGAAGCAATCAGCCCTAGGACACTATGGTCTTCAAGACCAGAAGAACTACATGGTGCCTGGCTACAAATGACAACCACTCAGGAAAGGATCAAATCTGGAGATCCTGGATAGAGTGGGAGGGAAAATGTGGAACCAAACCCAAAAAATCAATAATGACCAGAATTACTGGTCAGATGAAATCTGGTGAGTCTCCCAATTCTATGGCTCTGGAATACATTCTGCACCTGGAATAAAACTCATCTTCAGGGGTGGGCTCTCAGCCCAATAGCTAACAAGATGTACACGCAGACCACTCAACCCACACACCCACACACTTGATGGTAATACATCCCTTAGAGCAAAAGACCATGGAACACCAGAGAACCAACATTCAAACTAAGGAAATGCAGGACAAACAGGAGTGCATGAATGTGAGGGGCACAAGTGGAGGGTTATAGGGTAGGGAGAGGAAGAGTCTAGTTAGGGCTGGACATGGTGAATGGGGAATGAAACCAAATGTACATGTTACACTGAATGTAAAACAACCTCTTAAAATAAAAATAAAAAAAATAAATAAAGACAGTTCTTTGGAGAGAGAAGCAACAACAGCAAACAACAACTGACCATTAACACACATGATGACATAACCCAGAAACCAACCCAGTTATGGAAGTATCCAAAGTAAATAACCCTATAAGATTGTAAATAGGGAACCAGAGACATCAATTGACAAATAAGGACAACTACAAACCAAAAATAGGGGAAAAACTGTGTAGTTACAGAACTTCTAAATGGTAGGGAAGATAGAATAGACTATTCTAAACTTGGGAAAAAAATTATAAATCACAGGGTAACCTCAAAGGGCAATGATAAACCTTCACATCAAAATAAAAAAAGAGGACCAGAACAAATATTTAGCAAATACTGAAAAAATAGCAATGAAGGAAGTGATAACATGATTCATAAACAAAAGGAGATCAGCACTGAAAATTATATGGAAGAAATATATCAGGAACACCATGATAAAGCCCATAACAAAATGACAATGACAAATTCATACTTGTTGATAATTACCTATCTGACAAGGGACTTATCTCTAAAATTAATAGAAAACTCCAATACCTCAACAACAAAAAGATTAACAATCTGATTGAAAAATGGGCAGAAGACATGAATAGACACTTCA